TCTTTGTTAATCAATAAGCAGGAAAAGACAATTCTGGCGGCGTCCATTGCGAATGCCGCACAGCGGAGCATGTGATCACACCTCCGTCCTGGCATACAAGACAATGTACCAACCCCTGAGACACAGCCTGCGTCTGGAAATCTCGCTGTCCTTGTGTGCCTGACAGGCTCATTATCAACCACTGAGAACATATCGGGCCACTGATGACAATAGCGGCAGGTTACGCTGCAATCTGAGCTAAGGAAATATTGTCCTCAAACAAGAGTCATGTGCAAGCTCTTGGTGAGCTTTGTGTATTTCTTCCAGATCTGTGCAGTAATCCAGCGTGAGACTTGGAGCTTCCTATAATAAAGACCGCTCACTGCTGCTCTCTGTCCTTGTGCAGGGTGACTGGTCTTGTCTCCGCCCCCCTCCTGTAATAAAGACCGCTCACTGCTGCGCTCTCTCTCCTTGAGCAGGGTTACTGGTCTTGTCTCCGCCCCCCTCCTGTAATAAAGACTGCTCACTGCTGCGCTCTCTGTCCTTGTGCAGGGTGACTGGTCTTGTCTCCGCCCCCTCCTGCAATAAAGACCGCTCACTGCTGCTCTCTCCTTGTGCAGAGTGACTGGTCTTGTCTCCGCCCCCTCCTGCAATAAAGACCGCTCACTGCTGCGCTCTCTCTCCTTGTGCAGGGTGACAGGTCTTGTCTCCGCCCCCTCCTGCAATAAAGACTGCTCACTGCTGCTCTCTGTCCTTGTGCAGGGTGACTGGTCTTGTCTCCGCCCCCTCCTGCAATAAAGACCGCTCACTGCTGCTCTCTCCTTGTGCAGAGTGACTGGTCTTGTCTCCGCCCCCTCCTGCAATAAAGACCGCTCACTGCTGCTCTCTCCTTGTGCAGAGTGACTGGTCTTGTCTCCGCCCCCTCCTGCAATAAAGACCGCTCACTGCTGCGCTCTCTCTCCTTGTGCAGGGTGACAGGTCTTGTCTCCGCCCCCTCCTGCAATAAAGACTGCTCACTGCTGCTCTCTGTCCTTGTGCAGGGTGACGTCTCGTCTCCCCCCCCCCTTCTGAAATAAAGACCGCTCACTGGCTCTCTGTCCTTGTGCAGGGTGACTGGTCTTGTCTCCGCCCCCTCCTGCAATAAAGACCGCTCACTGCTGCTCTCTCCTTGTGCAGGGTGACTGGTCTTGTCTCCGCCCCCTCCTGCAATAAAGACCGCTCACTGCTGCTCTCTCCTTGTGCAGAGTGACTGGTCTCGTCTCCGCCCCCTCCTGCAATAAAGACCACTCACTGCTTCTCTCTCCCCTTGTGCAAGGTGACTGGTCTTGTCTCCGCCTCCTCCTGTAATAAAAAACGATCACTGCTGCTCTCTCTCCTTTGCAAGGTGATTGTTCTCATTTCTGCCCACTCCTGTCATTTCCTGTGGTGGGTGAGGCTTGCTGGTCCCCCTCCCACAGCTCTGCTCTGTGTACAGGCTATATACGGCACAGTGATGATGTCACCATTAGCTTTACAAGTAAACAAAGATTTTTTTTCTGCGCAGAGTTCAGCTTTAACAGCCCAAGACAATGTTCTGAGGGACCTATTTTTATTTTACAGCAGATTACGATGGCGGTTGGCAGATAAACATCGTGGAGCCCGAATGCAATTTCTGCACAAAGTGGCGAATTACATACAGTGTAGCAAGGAAATGTTAATGGATTCAGCGACAGGAGAGAGACAGAGCGATGGTTATCCCGCCAGACAATCAACAACAATAACCTTTCGGGAAAACGCAGCCAGAAAAAAAAAATACAAATCTCCTGAATGGAAGACGAACGATCCCTGAGAGGAACATCAAACCCAGATATCAGTGCTGTGACCACTGAGCAATGTTCCTGCATTGAAGGATGAACTTCAGACACAGACTAGCTGCCTTCTTCAGTCCAGTGATTGCAGAAGAAATAAAATATTAGGGCTGCAACTGGCGATTATTTTCGTAATGGATTAGTTGGCCGATTATTTTTTACATTAATCAATTAATGGGATTTAAAAAAAAAACAATCTTTTAATTTAAAATAAAATACACAAATGTCGTGTTACAAATATAAAGTTCACTTCAGAATAAAACTGCATGCGATTATTTTTTTTTTTTGGCAATCGCACACCGCACATTTCAGCGCAGGCCGTCACACTGCGGGAGGGAGGCGCGTTTGGGGTGCCACTGAAATGAATGGCAACGCAACGCACATTCTCCAGCAGAATTTGTCAGGCCGAAACCCCAAAATTACCGTATTTTGCGGTCCATAAGACGCACCGGACCATAGGACGCAGGGAGGTCCGGCGCGCCTTATGGAGCACTCGACAGACGGTAGCTTCCGTCACAGCTTCCATGACAGAAGCTGCAGTTAGTGACCGCTGAGACAGGTGGCGCGGTGATTACAGCGCCACGGTCTCAGTGATCACACAGAGCAGACGAAGAACGTCCGTTCTTCCTCTGCTCTATGGTGATCTCGATTGCCGCCGCTCAGTTTTAATACGAGTGATCTCATTAGATCACTCGTATTAAACGAGCAGTGGCTCCTACTACTCGCCCGGCGCCCGAAACTGCATGTCTCGGGCGTCGGGATTCGCTTCATAAGACGCAGGCACATTTTCCCCCTCCTTTCCGTGCGTCTTATGGAGCGAAAAATACGGTACTTTTTTTTCCCACCTTTTCTATTTATTGTTAATAACCGTTTGTATTTTGTTAGACATTTTAATTAGTTTCATGGATTTAAAATAATCCGAATGGAAAAACTCCCAAAAAATATAATAAAATAACTAGGGATGCACCGATAGATCGGCCGCCGAAACATATCGGCCGAAAGTGCAATTTTTGTGCCGATACGTCGGCGCATCCCAGGTTTCTTCCCTCCCCGCTGGGCGCTGCTCTTGTCCCAGTGGGGAGGAGAGAAACTGTGGCAGCCGGCCGAGCGCTGTGAGCGGCCGGTGTCTCTCCTCCCACACCGCTCAGCCGCCTATCATAGTCCGGCAGAGCGGTGTGTGGGCGGAGACAGCCAGCGATGTCACAGGAGGCTGAGCTCTCCACCCCGCTCCGCTCGCTCAGCCTCCAGCGTGTCAGGAAGGAGAGCGAGAGCAAACACTCAGCGATCAGTGATTGCTGAGTGTTTATAGATAATTGAGGATATGATATGGTTACTATATCCTCAATTATGAATGAATGGGAAGTCATCTACATCACTTCCTGTTCATTCATGATTGTGGTTATAGTAAACACACTCTGTCCTCATGGTTATCAATGAACAGGAACACTCAGCATAGAGGATTCCTGTTCATTGATAACAGGGGCTGCAGAAAAAGAGATTGAGGGCTCTGCGTGTCTCTGAGGACTTTGTGTTCTCTATCTCTTTTCTATTTTAAAAGGGGAAATATCAGGAGTCTGTTTAGATCCCCAATATTTCCCCAAAGCCCCTAAAAGTAAAGTAAAAAATAAAAATATTTAATAAAAAATGAATAAAAAATTTAAAAGATTATAAAAAATAAATAAAAAATTGAAAAAATTAAAATAAAAAAACATTTTCGGTTTCGGCCTGACAATTTTTTTAATTTCGGTTTCGTTTTCGGTTTTTAAATTTCTATTTCGGTGCACCTCTAAAAATAACCAAACTTTTTTTAACATAAAACACACC